AGGCATGAGTTACGAGGAAAGGCTGCGGGAAATGCACCTTACGACACTGGAAGACAGAAGAGTAAGGGGAGACATGATCACAACCTACAAAATCCTCTGGGGAATCGACCGGGTAAACAAGGATAAACTATTCAACACTGGTGGTACGCGAACAATGGGACACAGGTGGAAACTGAGTACCCACATGAGACACAGAGACGTTAGAAGGAACTTTTTCAGTGTCAGAGTAGTTAATGGATGGAATGCATTAGGCAGTGATGTGGTGGAGGCTGACTCCATACACAGTTTCAAGTGTAGATATGATAGAGCCCAGTAGGCTCAGGAATCTGTACACCAGTTGATTGACAGTTGAGAGGCGGGACCAAAGAGCCAAAGCTCATCCCCCCTCAAGCACAAATAGGGGAGTACAAATAGGTGAGTACACTCACACACACACACACACACACACACACACACACACACACACACACACACACACACACACACACACACACACACACACACACACACAAGAGTCAATGCTCGATCCTGCAGACACAACTAGGTGAGTACACACACACACACACACACACGCACAAGGGGACACAGGTGGAAACTGAGTGCCCAAATGAGCCACAGAGATATTAGAAAGAACTTTTTTAGTGTCAGAGTGGTTGACAAATGGAATGCATTAGGGGGTGATGTGGTGGAGGCTCACTCCATACACAGTTTCAAGTGTAGATATGACAGAGCCCGATAGGCTCAGGAATCTGTACACCTGTTGATTGACGGTTGAGAGGCGGGACCAAAGAGCCAGAGCTCAACCCCCGCAAACACAACTAGGTGAGTACAACTAGGTGAGTACACACACATACATATATATATATATATATATATATATATATATATATATATATATATATATATATATATATATATATATATATATATATATATATATATATATATATATATATATATTTATATATATATACAGGCTGCCTGTCCCTAACAACATAAATAATCAAGAGAAAAAAGCGGCCAGTTGGTGGCGGAGGAGGTGAACGTCCTCAAGTTAAAGCATGTCCGCCGCCGACTGCACCAAGTATTGATTGTCACAGCTGGTGGTGCAGCGGCCTGGTCCTCCAGCCTTGTCTTCCTGCTGTGGTTGCTACGGCTGCGGTGTTCCTGTGAATGCTGCCCGTTACTTAAGTTACTGGGGTAAAGACTGTATTAGTGATACTATCCAAAGTCTTCCTCTTGCCATAATATTCTTTATCCATTTTGGATAAAAATGTATTCATTTTGCAAAGCACATTTTATTACATTATTTAAATTACAGATAATATTAATACCTTAAATTATTTATGTCGAATACTTCAGGTTCACGTTTTAATTTCGATCGTCGTTTTCGTCTGTCAACTCCTCATTACAACGATCCCAGAGATGCCATATCTCAAGAGATAACGAAAGGCTTAGCGTCAGAACAAATAAAACTGCAAAAATGAACTTTGGAGAGTTAACTTTCTTACTTTCTTCTCAAGTGAATAAAAATATAAGGAAAATAAGAAGATTCTTGCTAGAATCATTGATCTCGCCCTTTCAGTCACATTCAATAATATATAAATCTGTTTTCAGTCCTATTTTGTGGCTTGTTGAGCTTGAAACCGTTGCTCCTTGTTTGTGTTTCATTTGACATTTTGAAGAAGTTGTCCGGATCAACATCCTCCAATTAGTTCAGCATTTTAAAAGTTTGGTTGAGATCCACCCTTCCATGTCTGAGTTGCAGTATTGCTAGCATTGAGGCCCTCAACCCGTTCCTGGTACAAGAGTTGACTTAGTTCTGAAATTATTTATATTGTCCGGTGTTGTATTTTCTCGAGAGCAGCTGAGACCTTCTGCAGATGAGGTATCCATGCTTGGATACAGTAATCCAAGTGGGAGCGCACCAGAGATTTATTCACTTGAATCCCTAACTACCTTATTGTCCTTTAAGACAAATGTGCGCTTGATTATTCTTAGGGTTTGATTAGTATTTTTTCAACTGCCGCTCCCACTAGTTGGGCAACTGTCAATGAATGGTGGATTTTTACCCCACAGTCCTTTTCTTCCTCAATCTGTTGCAAGGTATTAGCGTTAATTTGGTAGATGTGACGTGGGTTGTTATGCCCCACATGCAAAGTTATGCAATTTTCAATCTTAAAAAGCATTTGCCAGTCTTCTGACCACTTGTGCAGTTCATGTAGACCTCTTCGTAAGACCTCAATATAATTTTCAGTGGAGTACTGCAAGTTTCCCTTTTGGAGCCAACCTTTATTGCCATATATATCAATGATTTATACGAAAATTTTACAATGCACATCATCAAATTTGCGGATGGCACTAGGATTTACGGTAAAGTAGAAAGTTATAATGATATTGAGGCCTTTCAAAGAGATCTACACGAACTCAAGTGATCGAAAAACCAGGCAAATGCTTTTAAATATCGAAAAATGCACGATCTTCTGTGTGGACATAAAATTGCGCATTACAACTACCAAATCAACAACATTACCTTGCAGCAGACTGATGAATAAATGGACCTACGAGTCAGAATTCACCAATCACTGATGTTGCTCAAGTAGAAGCTGTACTAAAAAAAAAAATACCAAATCCTTGGAATAGTCAAGCGAAACGTAGACTTAATAAACAAGAAGGTAGTTATACAACTGTACAAATCTCTTGTGTGCCCCCCATTTGCATTATTGTATCCAAGTATTTAGACCCCATCTTCAGAAACACATATCTGCTTTGGAGAAAGTACAGCATTGAGTGACAAAAATCATTCCAAAACTAAGGCGACTCTCATACCAGAAACGGGCGAGGGCCTCAGGGGCTAACCACACTGAAAGGCAGGCATAGCGGAACTGATCTCAACGAAACTAGTAAAATACTGAACAATTTGGAGGATATTAATCCAGACCACTTCCTCAAATGGTCAGATGTAACACGATTAAGGAGCAATGGGTTCAAGCTCAGCAAGCTCAACAACAACATGAAATGTTTTTTCCACCCATAGGATCATCAACGCCTGGAACCGCCTACCCGCCGAAGCCGTAAATGGCGTTACATTACTGAATTTTAAAATCCAGCCAGATAAAATCATCAAGAAAAATGGGGGGATCTTTGACAAGCTGCCGGCTTCCTGTCCTCGTCAAGGCCACTAGAGAGATAGTCGCCATCAGGTAAATTTAGATGAATATTGAAGTAAATCAGTGGGACATCATTAAAGGAAACATAATGACCATACAAGTGGGACATCAGTATGGGGCTACATAATGACCATACAAGTGGGACATCATTATGGGGCTACATAATGAACTATACAAGCATCATTATGGGGCTACATAATGAACTATACAAGCATCATTATGGGGCTACATAATGAACTATACAAGCATCATTATGGGCTACATAATGAACTATACAAGCATCATTATGGGGCTACATAATGAACTAACTATACAAGCATCATTATGGGGCTACATAATGAACTATACAAGCATCATTATGGGACTACATAATGAACTATACAAGCATCATTATGGGGCTACATAATGAACTATACAAGCATCATTATGGGCTACATAATGAACTATACAAGCATCATTATGGGGCTACATAATGAACTAACTATACAAGCATCATTATGGGGCTACATAATGAACTATACAAGCATCATTATGGGACTACATAATGAACTATACAAGCATCATTATGGGACTACATAATGAACTATACAAGCATCATTATGGGACTACATAATGAACTATACAAGCATCATTATGAGCCACATAATGAACTATACAAGCATCATTATGGGGCTACATAATGAACTATACAAGCATCATTATGGGACTACATAATGAACTATACATGCATCATTATGGGACTACATAATGAACTATACAGGCATCATTATGGGACTACATAATGAACTATACAAGCATCATTATGGGACTACATAATGAACTATACAAGCATCATTATGGGACTACATAATGAACTATACAAGCATCATTATGGGACTACATAATGAACTATACAAGCATCATTATGGGACTTCATAATGAACTATACAAGCATCATTATGGGGCTACATAATAAGTTTCATAAGAGGGACGTCATTATGGGGACAAAATGTGTTAAACTTAACTGCCAAATATTCCTGGACACTGTTGAGTCTACCAAAAAGTAAGTCATAAAGGTGAATGGCTTGACTTAGCTACATTATGAAATTACCAAAACAATAACGATATCCTACCAAAACAATAACGATACCCTACCAAAACAATAACGATATCCTACCAAAACAATAACGATATCCTACCAAAACAATAACGATATCCTACCAAAACAATAACGATACCCTACCAAAACAATAACGATATCCTACCAAAACAATATCGATGCCCTTCCAAAACAATAAACGTACCCTTCCAAAACAATAACGATACCGTTCCCCCAAAAATCCTGAATACGAGGAGGCTACTGTAAGATATATTTTGATAATACACTCAGTAATGAGGCGCATTCAGTGTATTGTATACGATATTTGTCTGTGGCGTTGTGACGTCCACTGCAACATTCCTGCAACAATACAGCTGCCGGTCGTCAACACACTAATGTTCGCACGGGTTTCTTACTGATAATCAATAGTTGGCGCGTGCACTGCAAGATGGGCATTTACAAGCTCCTCTTCATTGACGAAAGTTTTTCCTAACTATAATCACACCAGGGAAAGTGAAAACCAAAATTATTAGTTCATTTCAGAATTCAACTTTAAGACATAAATCAGCGAAATGTATCAAGCATTATATCAAATAATATTCCAAAACACTTGCGTCTTTTCCGATTTATATGTAGATCGTTCACGGTAGACACTTGAAAAAATCATAGAACATACACAAAAATCTGGCACACCATTATCACTACCAGTTAATTAACCAAGTGTCAAGTGCCCGGCCCTCGGCGCTGCTCAC